TCACTGTTTACATCACGGTTTTATGTATTTACCAACTTTGTTTTCATTATGAGATAATTTTTAAATTAGCAGATTTATGTAAATATACAGGGTGTTTTTATATGAAATAGCAAAAATGGTACCAGTGAATGTAGAGCCAAAAATAAGAGGATTGAAGTAAAAATATCTTCTATGAAAGTTGCACCCTGAGGCGATATACCCTCTTAGAGGGAATTGAATTTCACATTTTAATTTTTTTCTTTAAAGAGGAATGCTAGAGACACGAAACTTGCTATGAGCATCCTACCAATAAAGAGAACTTTTCAATATTTGTTCGTTCATTGGCGTATTTTATAAAGAAGTGAAACGGTCAACCCCATTCCAATATTTTATTAGAAATTTTTTATATGAATCAAATTATTTATTTAAAAATATTTATTGGGAAGACTGATTTATTGCGCAACTTTTTTACCTCTTGTAATTTTTCTATAAAATTGATTGTTCTCCAGTAAAAAAATTTGATTTCGTTCAAAAATCTAAGATACTCGACCACTCCAAGCCTGCGTGGAAGAATAAAAGGACCTACTAGAGTATTCCTACAATTTCCAACTCAATGTTTAAACTGAAATTATGTTGACATCTTGAAACAAATATTTCATGAGTATTTTCTTCCGACCATGAATGAACATAATGAAGGTTTACTGCACCTACTCTAGGAAAATTTGCTTCATCGGTGAAAAGTATATTCATTAGGAAATTTAAGTCATGCCTGGAAATGTTAATGTACCATTGACAAATATCCACGCGGTTAGGTAAATCAGGGTCATTCAATTCTTGCATGGGTTGATGGTGAAAAAGGTATACAAAATTTTCAGGACCTACATTCCACACAAGACTGTGAGAAACTTGCAGTTGCCTGGACACCTGTCTTGTGCTTGTACCACAGTCTTGTTCTAGATGTTCCAGTATAGCTTCCTCAGTTTCAACAGTTCGGACATTACGCCTTCTTCCGGCACCCTCACAATTGGGCTGAATTTTACGTTTCGCGAAGCCTTCTTTTTACCGAGGCTAATGTTTGTCTATGAGGAATCGGTCGGTTTGGATATCTTTGGTGGTATAATCTTACTGCAGCGTTACTATTTTTTCTGAATTAGAAAAATACTTGGGGCATGTCGACATATTCGTTATTGGTATAAATATTATTTGCCATAATTATTCTGATAATAAATTAATCATTTGGTACTAATTATTGGTTGACAGAAAGTGTCAATTTATTAATATGATTAATAACAATTTATTTGTTATGACGTCCGCCTACTTTATTTTTACAAATTTTCGCAATTACCCCTTTAGTGAACGATGACGCATCTAATTTTTTTACTAGTCGGTTTTAACTGTCAGTTTTATCAAAAATTACAAGAGGTAAAAAAGTTGCGCAATAAATCAGTCTTCCCAATAAATATTTTTAAATAAATAATTTGCTTCATATCATAAATTTCTAATAAAATATTGCAATGGGGTCGACTGTTTCACTCCTTTATAAAATTCGCTAATGATAAAAAAAAATGTTAAAAAGTTGTCTATTTTAGGATGCTCATACCAAGTTTCGTGTCTCTAGCATTCCCCATGTTAAAGAAAAAAATTAAAATGTGAATTTCAATCCCCTCCTTTAAGAGGGTATATCCCCTCAGGGGTGCAACTTTCATATAAGGTATTTTTACTTCAATCCTTTTATTTTTGGCTCTACATTCACTGGTACCATTTTTGATACTTCATTTAAAAACACCTTGTAAAACGAGAGGCAAAACGGCAAATATACAAGGTGTTCCAATAAAAAACAAAACAAAAGTTCAGTTTAAATCTTCGAAATGGAATAGTGATATGTTTCTTTTATTCAAATTTCTTCTTTCTTTGAAATCGCAAGTCAACTTCCCAAAACTTTGGTCTTTGCGAAAAAGGGGGGGTTACAATATTATGTCAATACAGTTCCCGTGTTTGAAAAAAAAAGAAAGGGAAAATGTATAAAACCCATGATATATGGCCTGCCATCTTGTAAAGTGACAATTGGTTCTACACAGGGTCGGAAAGTACCTATGGTCCATCTGCCGTTACGTGAGAGCGATAAAGTAAGTCATAGAAATCCGTGCGATAGAACTTCCTGAA